TGCATCCCCATTCTCCCTGTTTAAACCAATTAGCAGCTTTCTACCTCTACCTTCTAATGATTTTAGCATTTCACTTACATTTAGGATAGATCCCCATTTTAATCTGACAGCAACATACACATGCAGATCTACTTCCTTTTCTCCTCCTCCCCTGCCGCCCTCATTACATACAGCTCACAGCATGGACACCGATCAATGGCAACCAGGCCCCTTAACAAGCCACACCACTTCCTTACCTTCTCTAATGCAAATCAGGGTATTGGCTACAAATCTCCCATCAAGTGAGTGCCTATTTAATGGAGTAGCTAGGTGGCTGTGCTGTTCCTCAATGCCGAGCATTCACAGACTCCTGGTACAGGTTGAGTCGGTCCTAACGAAGGAAGCTGGAGGGAACAGGGGATAATCTGGAGAAAGGACAAGGAGGGGGATCAGGGATGAGTGATGTAACTGCTAGACAGCTGGGGTAAAAAAAAGGAGTGCGTGAATGAGGTCAAACGGGAAAAATAGTTGATGTATGCATTGTTAACCCGACAGAGGAGGGGTGTCTGATTGACAAGCGGGAGGAGACCAAAAAACATCAACTAGCAGTATTGTAAATCAAAGAGCTGGCTGTTTAACTGCACTGCAGACACGCTGTAGTTACTTCTATCTACATTTGTTTGGTCGACAGCCGTTGTCACTAAAGACAAAGCAATCCATACTGCATATTTTAGCTCATGTTGTAAACGTAAAACATGAGTAGACTTTCTTTTTTTTTGGTATAGATTAATGAAAGAGAGCGGGATGGAGGAGAATGAGGAAAAATATTCAACACATGACAGCGCTCTGCTCTTTAACTACCTAGCAAGGCCGTGCGCAGCATGTGGCACAGCTCACACACAGAACAGGGGAAATGAGCGCCAGCCAGCAGGAAGAGACAAAAAACAAGTAGTGGGAAGACGGACCAACATATTTACGGCACTAATGATATATAATGATTGATCTTTTCTGGGGCTTTCATCACTTTGTCTGTTTTGAAGTGTTCTGCCAGTGTTTTTGTGTATAGTCGCGCTGCTGTGCTTGCATTTGTGTTCCAGAGGGTGTGGAAGTCGCAGTATGTGGACTTGCTGCAAAACTTTCGGAGAAACTGTTCAGAAGAAGTTGCTGTGGCAATAAAGCGCAGGCAATTTTTGCCTGTCAATAGTAAAACAAATGTTACAGCCAGAAAAATAACTCTGAGCTGAGTAAATCCCCGGCTTCTGAAACATCCCGAACTCTCGTACTGTAAACACACACTCTCACAATCGCACTCACACGCACGCTAAGAAGATTTGACAGCATGCACTCTCTGTATGCTTTTATGCTTCACTGACACTGATGGAGGAAAAAAAAAAAAGTGCATGGGCAGGGATTTGCCCTGTAAAGATGACATATGAGAGCCCGGGACAGGAAGAGCTTTGGGGGCAACGCTGCTATGATATACACTGTTGACATGCAGTCCAAGTGTCTCAACATCATGTCACACATGTTTCTACAGCCGATTTAGAGAGGGGGCAGGAAGTGCAATCTGGGTCAGTTCATTACGAACATCTGGAAGGGGAGCGAGAGCTGCTTTACAGATATAGGGAAGATGGTTGTTGGACGGTCTGCGAAGGCAAGGGAATTCAACTGTGTCTTAAGTCCTCTCGAGCCAGACTGGGTTGGGTGGTGTTGGGGGAGAGATCTATATCCCCTAGTGTGGTCTAAATGAGGAAGATGAACTTCAGAATCTATGAGAAATATCTCACATCCTCAACCCCCCCCCCCCCACACCCGAGGCGTTGATGGTAGATTCCTATACTTGGGCTTGGGTAAAATGACCCTTTGGAGCAGCATGGCTGGGTTTTCTATTATCCTGGAATCTAATCCCAGTCTCTTTACCATCTCAGTGCCTAATTGTGGTCTGCATGTAATCCCCCAGTCTGGAATTATGCCAAGGCGACACACCAGAGTGTGGATACTACCCTTTACATGGTGAGGTCTAGAACCACTTTACTCTCTCACAACTTTGTTTCTTTTGTCTCAATAAATCAGTGACGTGGAAATCTACAAAACTGACATAGGCTGCATCCACACTACTACGTTTCCATTTTAAAATGCATATCTTTTGCTTCGTTTACTTTGAGTGTCCACACTAATATGGAGTTTTAGAGCACCGAAAACGAAGCAGTTGTGTGGACAGGCGTAACCGCATGAATTTTTAAAATGATGACGTAGACACCCGCGTTCGCTACTTGATTGGGTCTTAGCAGTCACGACGTGTTCTTCCCTGATTCGTCACGCCCCTATCACATGACCCTTTTCTGGAAGAAAACAAAAAACAACAGCCTTGATTGACGACCAGTGGTTAATTCAACATAGATCACGGATTATAGGCATTGCTGACCTTGTCTATACTAGCAGCTGTTGTGCAGTTAAAGTCTGCATTTTATAATTCTCCCACTGCCGACATGTGGAGCAAGCAAGCTATTACTGGAGCGATTAGCGAGAGGCATGTCCAGCGGCATTATCAGCCCTACAGAGCGGACGTTTGAAGTCACGGTTTTGCGGCTTTGAGGAGGGTGATGGACACAAAACGCAGAACTATTGTGAAGTCCATACAGAAACTGTAAAGGAACAAATGCATGAATGCTCTCCAGTGCAACAGAGACTTCAGCCATCCGACAGAGCAACGAGTGTGAGAACAGACAACAACAAAACAGGAAACAAGTGAGACGTGTGCTGACCAAATCGTTTTTTTTCTTTTTAAACGTATTAGTGTGGATGCAGCCATAGGGTCAGGAGTGAAAGTGCTTTGTTTTTTGACTTTTGATACTTGCCAGGTTGAAGGCCAGGTCAGGGTTACGAAAGGCTTTCTGCTCATGGCATTGTGTTGAGTCTGAATGGTTGTGGGTAAGACAGGCAGGCTGTCTGTCATCATCCATTAGTATAAATTTCACTGATGTCGCAAGATCCAAGTTAAGCACCGTGCATTGTTACCTTGAGGCCTCAACGTTTCTCATTCAAACTAAACACACTCGCTCTTCTTTAAACAGCAGATAATATTCTTGAAAGGACGAGTAAGAAATCTGTATGTACAAATTGCAGCCTTGTATGTGTTGACACAAGATGGTTGCCTGGCAGGCAGAGGAGACAGCTGTTTAGTCCCAGCATCACTGATGGACCTCAGTGCTTTCCTTGAGGTGCCGACATCAGTCCATCTGCACTAGTCTGCCATTAGCAGTTCAAGGAACTAGCAGAGCCGGCGGCACGGGGCTCAGCCTATCAGACAGATGTAAATGCCACCTGATTGGACAGCGGATGATATAGAGACAGATAAAAAAAACAGAACAAGATTTCAGGGTGCCTCCCATTCAGGGTGGGATCAATACCTCTCTGGTAACGGGGAATGTCAAATTAAATTTCCGTTGTAAGAAATGATTACAAGTAGTCATACAAAATGGCCAGGCATTGTGATGGGTGGGGGTGAAAGTGAGCATTGTGGGGAGCGGGACTCACCCAGGGCACGGGTGATCGACTGGGTCCACGGTGAGGGAATCGATACCACTGAGGGCAAGAGTTTGATATGTCTCCCTGATAAGTCTCTGTGTCTTTTGAGCCTTGGTGTAATAGAGCATAGATAGTATTTCCAGCCAAATACACACACAAGCACACACATGCACACAGAAGGATACAGAAGGGCAGGCAGCCGTGCACACATACTCAACCCAAACAGGCAGCCAAGCACAAATAGCACACACTCTGGAGGAACATTTTATCTTCCTCAGATTCAATATGTCTCAGGTTTTCAGACTAGGACCCAGGAAGTCCAGGCAAAAAACATCTCTGAAAAAAATACATGTTGAAAAATGCCTTTTCTGTCCAATACCATCCATTGTAGACCTTCGTTTTTCCTGCAGCTTCTCTTCTGTAGCACAGACATCCTTTTAATAGGACTGAGATAGAATTTCTCTCCGTGACTTCTATTTATAAGAAGTTTGTAATTGTGTGATCAATGGTTTTACTAAATTGAAGGTAATGCTGTTAAAAGTAATTTAAAAGACAAACTATGTGTGAATAAGTTTTGTTACAACTATTATTAGACCCAAGATAAAAATAAAATAAATTGGTATTAGGGATGGATAGTGATAACAGGTCTTAAATTGGTATTGATTGGTTCCTGATTGCTCAGATTCATAACACTGTAATGATCCTTCAGCAGTCAGTATGGCTAACAGTCTTTGAATGTCATTCATTCAATCGACATTTTCAGTTAGACTACCGTTAAATCATTTTTTCCTGGCATGTAGCCATCTGCTAATGACGATGGTCTTTTGCATTGCGCAACTCCATCATGGTTGTGTTACCATCGTGAGGACTGAAATAACATATATATTCACCAAAGCAACTGCAGCTCCACCATCACTGCAGCCAGCCCACTGCCCCTGATTCAATACATACTGTATATACCTGTTTTGGAGGTCTGGTTGCTGGTTAATGTTGGTGAGAGGCTTGTCACTAAAATAAGTACAGCTGTCCACCTTAATGGTCATCCCACCTTAAGTGAGCCTGGGCAGAAGTCACTGGCCTCGGAGTTGAGGAGTTGTAGCATTTATTCACCAACAATTAAACTGTACCCAATGCACTGCTATGTTCACAGCTATAACATTACTGATACTCACGGTCACACAAATATTCTCTTTCTCTGTCTTTGCCGACCACACACTCACTCATATTATGCCGCTAACCCCGCTCGTTAACCCCGCTACATTGATCCAGATTGATGGATTGTTACACCCTTAGTACCAGCCATCGATCTCACAATTTTCTCTTCCTCCTGATGGACTATTAAAAGTATACTGAACACTGTTGCGTCTAGTTACACATTTGAATCCTATTAAAATGAAGGAGGATTATTGATAAGATTACCAATAAGTATTGATACCGATAAGCAGTATCGGTATCAATACCAGTTAGGATAACTGATGAAAAAATGTACTCACCCAGTCTTGGCAAAGTTGGTCCAATAGGTCATGACCACAGCACTGAGCATGACATCATTCTTCGAGAAATTACAGGGGAAAAGGTCAGTGGGACCAATCATAGGAATTCCGAAAACATAGGGCACCTCGTCCCCGTGGGCGGAGTCTGACCAGGCGGGCTTCATCAGGCTCTGGCAGTGGTGGTAAAAGGCGTAGAAGTAGGTGGGTGAGCCGTAGCGAGCGTGGAGATCAGCCGTCACCACCGAAGGCTCCACCCACTGGTGGTCGGTGAACAGAGCCACCAGCGTCTTGCGCCTGGTCTCTGGATTGTCTCTGTCTGCCCAGTCGGTATACATGAACTTAATGGTCTCCCTCAACGTGTCCTTGCCCTCCGGGTACCCGTACAGACTGTCCACAAAGTCTGACACTGAGAAGTCAAAGTCATTTCCAGACACGCCATCCTCTGAATCCACCACGTTCTCCACAAACCGCAGCCCTTCGCCCTGGTTGACCCCCAGCATGATGTCGTAGTTGAGGAACTCGCCCTGCTCCATCAGGATCTCGGGGTCGTCAGGGATAACATCCCCATCGATTACAGGTCCAAAGGCCACGTGGTACCTCGCTGGTTGTATGTCCTGCTCCACCAGCTCCCTGGAGCTCTTCTTCCTCAGACAGTCCACCATATCTAAGGTGTCCAGGACATTACAGCCCACCTTCTCCGACAGGAGACGTGTATACTTGACCGGCTGGTAGTTCACCGCCCAGCTGGAGAGGGCTGACCCGCTCTGAATGATGGCTCTGTGGAACAGACCTGCACAAGGACACAGGAAGAAGAGACAGGATGATGTTCAGTGTGTCACTACTACGGAGGATAATTCAGTTATGTGCTATACTACATGATTGTTAATTTTGTTGCTGCCATGATCAAAAGGCGTCTGTCAGCTACACAGTTGATAAGAATAACAGAGGCCAGACAGAACAAGTCCTTGTTGCCACACAGAACAATAATGGAATCGTGGCTGTGATAATGACTGTGCAGATGGCCTGGTCTCTCTGACAGCTCGCAGACAGAGAAGGGAATCAGTACTCTGTCTGTCATCTTCCCTTCTTCCATCCATCTCTATAGGCTCTCTCGATATTAATCCCTGCATGTTTGTCAGGAGCAGATGCTGCCAATGTGGCTCAATGGGTTTTGTTGCAAATAGAGGATGGACTATACCGTACCAAAAAAATCAAGTAATTTCCTTGTATGAAATGCAGAAATGCAGGAAGATTTCGTCTATAAACCCTGCACACATGCCATCCCCCCTGTTAATGTACTTTTCAAGGTAGCTTGAATTGGATGAACCTCAAACACTACAATTATAGACACAGATGCTCCCTTTTGCAGTCATTACATACACACACACACAGTACCTCTGCATCAGTTATGCCTCTCGCAAGTTAAAAGTCTTTTTTACCTGAAAGATCACTAAATTCTACAGTTTGTGGGTGGATTGCTATAAATAAAACTGGACTCCTACTCGCTACATAAGCAGAAGGAACGGAGCTGCACACATTCACAACAGTGCAACATAGTGGCACACAATGACAGAAGCTAAGCAGAATAACCACGGTTTCCTGCATCTGATATACATAAATAGACTTATGTTGCACTCAGAGTCAACAGACCATTCATTATGTGAATCTACATAGGAGCTTGGTGTTTGTGCATGGGTGGGCTTCAAAGGGGGGGTGGAGGGGGTTCAGAGACGAAGGTAAACAAACCTACTAATCAAATGAAATTACATTTTAGTCGCAGGGCAGTATGAAGGAAATCTTCAATGACTTTTCACCACAAGGAACAGATCCCTAACAACAAACATAATTTCCTTAGAAATAATTGAATTGCTTCCCCTTTGAAAAAAGAATCCTCCTTCTGCCTTACAGACAGTAGAGTGAAGGTGACATGGCATCCTCTTTGTCTCGGGGCCCTCCTCCACATTGTCGTTGATGCCTCGCAGTCTCTGTTTGACAGCCCCACTCATCCGTCCTCCCGGGTTTTCAAAATCACGAGTGCTGTTTTACCAATCTCAAAGAAAATCAGAGGCCACTTCACCATGCCACTTTATCGCTCATGGCGGTTTCACTGCCAGAGTCATGGAATACCACTGAACTCATGATATTGAAAGCCACAGCAGATGAAATGCTCCAGAAATGGCACACAGACATAAAAAAAAAAAAAAAAAAGAGAAAAATTCAATAGAAGATCACACATTTAAGCCACAAAGACTAGCAGAGAAATATACAGGCACGCAGACTCGGTTTGTGATATTTCAGCATCAGCGTGGGTGGCGGTGTTGAAGTCTTTGTGTTTATGAGGTAAACAGCAGACTTAAGTGCCAGATATATCACTTTGGTAGTCTTAATCAGAGGCGGCGGGGGGCTTATTTCTTCTTGGCGAAGATGAAGCGTTTATTTACAGAGCTATTTACATTTATTTGTTCGCAAGTAGTAAGTAGAATTAATGTGTCTGGGTGAGTGAACTGTGAAATGTTTCTGTGGTGAGTGTGTTTACTGGTATAAGCCACAATTTGTGTATTTGAACAATGAGTTTGGATCTGAATGCGGCAGCTGTTGGCAGCGAAGATTTCACAACATGTCCTAATATAAGTTTTTGATTTAAATGCAATGAAAGAAATGTGTGTTTTTGTGTTTCTGCATCTTTCTACGTGAGCTCGTCAGCTCTCTGTGGCCTTGCCAGGACGCTGACCTTCGAGACGTCCTGTGGTTGTGCGTCTCTGCAGGACGGTGGCCTGTGCCGTGTCCCAGGGAGCGGAAGCAGATGTCGAGGGTTTCACCCACTTGAAAGCATTAGAGGGGCAGCCGCGAGATGAAAGATGGCCGCTCGGAGGCAGAGAGGGGGGCTGGGGCTTAATCCTGCAATCCCTCCCCTCTCCTCCTCCTCTCCTCCTCCCCTCGCTCTTTAGTGGTATTGCCTCGCTTCACATCTCAACTCAAGATTGCGCTGTGCAAACAGAGCCAGTCATGGTGCAGGGAGTCCGTCCAGAATTCCAATGCCGACAGACAGGCCACAGGCACTTTCTAAATGTCTTTGATCAGAAAGTTGCTCTAGGAAAACGTTTGCCAGCAGAATCCTGTGATTGGCAAAGCGATTTTGACAGACATATGTATATCAAATCCCTTTGCCATAATTGAGGAGAGCGGCTTGAATGCAACTGGGCTTGTCTGAAGGAGGAGGCTGCAGCCAGGTTGACAACGTTAGATTTATCTCCTGCTTTGGTTGATGAAATGGAGGACGAGTGACTGAGGCTTTACAATTGTTTGTAGAGAAACATAAATCCAGCGCACATGAGCTGTCACCGGACCGATGAATATGCATTAGAGCTGTGTGTGATGAGCCCCACTGTGGTAGGAAGCTCACAGGGGAAGGTCAGGGAGAGAGGAGAGAAGAGCGCAGGCTCTCTCACCCACTGAGGGAATCCACTAATTATCCACACTGGGAGGTGTACATGTGTGTCTGTGAGTGCACGTGTGTGCATGCACGTGTATTTATGCTGACGTTGATCGATAAGAAACGGAGATGATGAATGGACCGACAGACGACAGGCATCATCATGATTAGGGTTAACCGTTTGGGACATTGTTTTGTATTCAGTATCTACTCACATCGCGAAAAAATTAAACAGAAAGGGCATGACGCAACATGTGTGTCACATTCATATCTTGCATATTTCACCCTGTAAAAGCAACAGATAGCCCCCTATCATTATCTGCCTGTGTTTGACATGCGAGAATCCGACACCCAAACTGCGAGCAGATCCATCAAACCATAGTGTTGCTGGCAGATTGAGGTCACGCTGAATTATGAGCGGCGCTCCGAGGTAATCACTCATTGGATCCTTGCTAAAATGCTGTCGCGTCACTCCGCAGCCGCCTCTGTGCTGCGGTTTGCCGACCTCGACTGCGCTGCCCTCTCACTAGACACCCGTTAAATGGGCATGCAGTTCAGCCCTGGATTGGCCAATTTGCCTGCGGAGATAATTCACAGCTGATAGGAGAAAGAAAAAAAAGCTTGACCTTGAGGGTATGACGACCGCCGCATAGGTTAGAGAGCCACAATCCACACAAACACACACAAGCTCAAACAAACACAAGTTGAGGCCATGTTTTGACAACAGCAATATGGATGAATTGCTGATATAAACAAGCCAATGCCGCACCAGTGGAGAGAGAGTAACAGGACGTGGCTGGATCACTGCTAAAGTATTACATGGCAACTATGGGCATGTGAGAGTGTTCAGTCCGTGTTAATGGACAAGGATGTTCTGTTGGTGATGATGCCAGTAAGCGCCGTAAATGACTATACTTTGTAATCCGGAACAGCTGGCAAAAATCACTGAGGCATCAGCGGTGAGTTTTATCAGTCTGGCCCGGAAATAAATGTGCCTGTAAAAAATGCACGCTGCAGAAACCCCACTACAACCTCAACAATGTCATCCGCATGAAAAAACAAAAAAACAAAACAACTGCACAAAGACGTCTATCAGATGACCTTGAAAGTTTGGATCGGTCAAGTTTCATTTTATAGGTCAGTGACTCATTTTCTTGACAGCATTCCACATGACTTTAAGAGGTAACAGGATAGAAAATATGCAAAGCAGCAAAATCTTATCGGAATTCTTCTCGGACACATAAAAGCCATCGCAAGAGAGAAATAACGTGGCCACAGGGACACGTCTTTCTCTTTTCTTCCCCCCTACAACTCCTCCTAGATCTTGTACATGCCTTTTCCTCGCCTTTCAATCCTTCCTCTGCTCTGTTTTTCTGTCTCTCTCCATCTCACTCTCCGTGTCTCTTTTCCGAGGGACCATGCTGAGTCCCTCCCTGCTGATTATTAGACATAAGCTTGCGTTCAGCAGAGCCTGAATCCTCTGAGCCATCTTACCTCCACCATCACTTCACTGTAAGCAAATCTCCACAGACCCGTGGACCCGTGCAGAGCTCCCTCTGTTGCAAACATTTCTCTCCGTCTACAGTGAAACTAGGCTAGCGCTCAGTTGGACACACTCAATGAATGTTGCTCTGCCTCTGTTGCTTCATTTCACTCTTCTTTATTTTCTCTTTGTCACTGCTGTTTTTCCCCCATTCTTTCTTAACTCAATCCACAGTGTTTTTTTTTAATCTAAATTATAAATATGAAGTACTTTTAATCCAACCTGAAATATTTTAAGCCCGCTGGGAGATGAACACTTATACATTTTGCCTAATTATACATCCCTGGCCATTTGCAGTCTCATAACACAGGGTTAAAGCTGCTGTCTCCATGACTACAGCTTACAGTACCACAGGCTGCATCCACTTAAACACAAGTGCCTTTGGTGTGATCATGCATTAGTCCATGGGTAATTTCACATTGGTCTGGCAGCCCTGAAACAACACCTACATAGTTTTTCTGTTTCATAAAAATTAACGCCCAACATCAAACTCGTCGACTTCAAAACCAACGAACGCGCTGATGGAATCAGCAAAAGGGCAATGCTCTGCTTTCTGAGACAGTAGTGCCTTTGAATACACTTCCTGGATTGCCTCGGGCCACAGGGATATACTGTAAATTAAAGCACAAAAGAATCCAGGCAGTGTGTGTGTGCGTGAGCTTTAATCCGAGCAAGGCTGTTATTTGCTGTACTTGTTTGAATTAAAAATGAAAAATGACATAAAGCGGCCCAAATAGGACTCACTACTTGTGATTCATCGTGTGCACGATTTGTTGTCTTGCTCTTTTATGACTGTTCTTGTTACCTGGCTTCA